GAGGAATTGTTTAGAATAACTGCTTCATCAGGTGCAGAAGACAAACAGGCATGTCTGTTTGTTGGATGTTTGGATTATCCTTAGTCTGTTCTTCCTCGGGGTAAATGCCTTCTGTGGGAGAGTGTGACGGGTTAAAGTGTATAGAAGACAATAATCTCTGTGCTGGTGTGGGAGGGGCAGTGGAGCTGTGTTGTGGTGCCCAATAACGATAGGGGAACCAGCGGCTATGACGCTGAGGATAGTATTGCCAATTGGGATGCCATAGGGGGTATTGATATGTCATAATCTGTGCGCTCCATATGATGCATGTGCTCTCTCTGGGGATGAGTGTTGTGAGGAGTTGTAATAGCTTGGAATGGCCACCCACTGACCCGGAGGAGGAAACGCCCTTCCCTGAGCCATGGTGGGATCACCTGGATGACTCACCTAGGAGGAAGCCGGGGGCGGGCCAGGGATATAAAAGAGCTGCCTGCAAGGCCAGTTGGGGCCCTGCCAGAGAGGGATCCAGAAGCCTTCTCTACCCAGCCAGCAAGGGAGCAAGAGGTCTACACATCCCAGACAGCTGGGGAGCCAGAAGCCTCCCCAATCCCACCTGCTGAGGAACCAGAGCTGAAGGGGGGAACCGGAGCCGGAGGAAGAGGACAACTGGACTGGGCCTCCAGGCCCACTTCTGGAGGACTACCAAGTGAGCCTGTTGTTGTGGCCGGAGGTTCCCAACCTGTGCGGCCTGAAGAACCTGCCACGGAGTCAGGTACAAGGTACGGATGGGAGAATTGGAACTGGCCCAGGGATAGCCAACCTTGATCTGGCTGAGGGTCAGTGGGCTGCGGTGTGGACCCCCACTGACCCCGATATAACAAGTCAGTGAGTTTTTGACTGGACCCATGCTGACCTAGCAGCTGACTACTGGCTGCTATTAAGGCCCTGGGTTTGGGCATGGTGGTGTAAGGAGGGCCCATGTCCCCCTGTCACCTCTTGATTTGGTGGCAGTCTCTCCTCCTGCAGTTTGCAGCCACAGGCAAAGTGCCTGAATCCCTCCTGAACAAGGAGACCAACTGCTTACCTGTGCTTACTGGCTGCGGACTTCACCTGGAATAAGCCCTTGCCCTGCCCTAAGGCTGGATTCCCTGAGGGTATGTCTACTCTACAGCGCTAATTCGAACTAACTTAGTTCGAATTAGTTAATTTGAACTAAGCTAATTCGAACTAACGCATCCAGACAAAAAACTAGTTTGAATTAACATTTTGCTAATTCGAACTAGCATGTCCACACAGAGTGGACCCTGAACCGGGGTTAAGGATGGCCGGAAGCAGTGCCGGCAGGGCATCAGATGAGGACTTAGAGCATGGAGCTGCTGCCTCAGGCTAGCCGAGGACTGTGCTTAAAGGGACCCGACCCCCACCCTGGACAGACA